GGGGTGACAGGAAATCAGGTGGCGAAGATGTGTGGTTGGTATTTTATCTCTTTATCAACTGATGAAGGTTATACGGTTAGGCTTGAAATGGAGCCAGTGGAGCGTTTGTCTAATCTACAGCTTGACTCAACTACCCCTTCCAAGCCCACTGCTGGCATATTTTGTCTTGACACGACTCATTTATTAAAGCGAAAGCTTTCGTATGCAGCGTGCTAGTCGGCAATCACCTTTTTAGCATCCCAATTAACTGGTTTCTAATTGATGTTGTACGTATCAGAGTTAATGAGGCAGAAGGCCATCTGTTGAACAGAGAACCTGAGAGCATATTATCATTGAAGGGGCAAATGCACAGACAAACGCAACAAGGACAACATCATCAACAGAGTGGTATGTTCCAAAGACAGAGCCAGCTGCTGGAGTGTCCTCCACGGGGACGTCCCTTTTATGACACCAATATTTTAGACATATGGAGGATACAGTATACAGGGGATACATGGTTTGGGCATCACTAACGAGGTTTATCATATTTTATAGGAGAACTGGGTGCTGGTCCCAATGACATTACAGCACTTAAAAGACCAGATCCACTACTTTAAATTAATCAGTAAAGCCGGCCGTGAGGGCAGCTGTTAAAAGCGTCCCCTCCTTCCTTTACTGCGGCTCATTCCCTGGTGACATCAGATATCTCCAGCTGACCCAAAGTCACCATGCTAGCATCATAGAGTCAGTGTTGACGGGGATGTCATGTGAATGTCACAGAATCCCTCCTCACATGGAGGGGGGGGGGGGGGGGGGGGGGCTGGACTCAGGGGACACAGCCTCCGTTTTGCCTGGCTTACTCAACCGCGCAAGAGAATGTCAGCGGGATGGTCCTCCATAGGATGGTCCTCTATAGGATGGTCCTCCATAGGGCTCCTGTCCCGCCCAATGTGCAGGTTCCATGCGACAAGCGTCTCTGTACAAAAAGCTGCTTATGTATGTACACACACACACACACACACACACTCGCAATGCCTGTTGCTATCTGATCCCCTGTCTCCTCATCTTATTCTGCAGAGCTGCACATTCCTCCTGACATATGACCTGACATGTGACCTGACATGTGATCTGTTACAGCTTCCGCTTCCTCAATCCATGGGTCGGCATAAATGGCTACTGATGGTAACAAAAGCGGAAATCTTCATGCTGCTGGGCGCAGGGACATGATGAGTGAATGAGGAATTGAACTTGGCTCCACTGCAGTGTAAACAGGTGAAACAAACAACAAACAAATACTTGTTTTGCTCTCTAACTTAAAACTACCAAAACGAGAACCAATCATGCCCCAGCAACCAGAGCACTGATTCAGGTCACTGTCTCATACATACACGTAAAGGACTGATATTAATGATTACATGCTGGTAGCGGGCGTGTTCCCCAAACTCAAGAAGACAAGAAGCGGATTGAACCCAATACTCATCTACTGTTATGGCATTATTAAGTACATCGTTCCTCTTTGTCAAAAAAAAAGTTGTAGTGGACTGACCCAAAACGCTATGCAATGCAGTAAACTACCAAAAGGGGGCAGTCATATAACCAAATGGTTACTATTTAAAATTGTTTTAATTGGTTTCCTGCTTAAAAACTTGACAACTTTTATAAAGACAAAATCCAATAATTTAGAGATAACCAGGTTTTTTTTTTTTAAAGGTTTGAAAATGTACAGAAAAGGCAGCTGTTGATTTAAAGTTATTAACGGCCCAAAACTTTGGTTTTGCAACAAACCAAAAAATATCATAAACAGCAGGGTTGCTATTAGCCCTGGGCAACCGGGGCTACATCCCCGGATCTTTTATTAGTAGCTACGGATCTCCCGGATATTAATTTTTTACTTTACAACAGCAACAACAACAACTGTAAAAACCTGATCTGTAACCTGTCTGTCTTTCTGAACTTACTTTAAAGCCCTCGTAAAAAATATGATCTCGTTGATCAAAAACACAAGTGGTACGTTTTGGGTCTTCAAGCAGCAGATCTGCTTCTCACTACCTGTCACGCGTGCATTGTGTGTGCATGAGAGAGCGAGAGCACTGGGTGCCATGCTTGTCATTGATGGCAGCTTGTGCTTTGCTAGCTACTTTACAAAAAGAATTATGGATATAAGAAGCTTTTTAAAAAAAGATAAAAGGCGAGGAGGTGCAGGCGAGGCTGGAGGACGTGGAGGAAAAGTTATCTCCTATTACCGCAGCAGCTTTATCTGCAGGCTCAGGTTGGTGGAGAAGAGTGCTCGCTAGCTAGCTAGCATAGCTCACTAGTTCTCAAATGTTTTTGAAACAAGGCTCACCATCTATGAAAAAAAGTATTTCTGAGGCACATTTTTACATGCAAAGCACCAAAAGACTAATTTCAAAACTCAGCTCCCAAGGCACAGCAGCGTACAACGGCACACATTTGGAGAACCACTGGTCTAGCTAATAGGGATCAAGCACCCGAATACAAATACATTATTCAGAAACGCACAAATTATGCATTGTAAACAGATATTTTTTAATTTTTTAATTTTTTTATATTTAAGTTTCATGTTATTACTAGGAAAAAATGAGCAACATGGAGGAGGTGTCACTGTCCTGTGCAGATTTCTTTCAAACCCGAAACCCCTAAACATATACATCACATTTTTTAGCTGCGTCAAGTCCTCCCACAGAAAAAAACAGTAGAATTATTGAAAAAATTACACTCAGTTCACTCAGTTTTCTTCTGTTTAAGATGTAAATTCCTGTATGCATCATTCATAGAGAAAATGTTTAAAGGGCTATTTTGATGAAGAAGGCTCTTGCTGCTTAAAATAAAAAAGTTATGAAGTTGATTGAGAGCTCAGAATGCCCTCATTTTGTTTATTTTGATGTCTCGTTGTGACCGGAACCGTTCGCGTCATGTACTCATTTCACTCTGAAATAACTTGAAAATGGTGCAATTATTGAGTGAAAATCTAAAGATTTTTTGGTTGGGCTGAGCCCCCAATGTTTCAAGACCCTAACAACGCCCTTGATTAACAGCAAGACATATTTTGACAACAAGTAGGCTAATGTACATAAAAGACCAGCACATGCGATCTCAAATTCATTGTATGCGTTGGATATGTGCAAAAGGCCACTGTATAGTGTTTCACCCGTATGGGTTCATCGACATTTTTTGGGAAATTTCTAAAAAGAGCTTCACCAGCAGCCAACTGCTATAAACAAGAGGAGACGCAATGTTTTGGATGTGGTTGAAAGGCACAGCAAATCAAAATTTAAAAATAGCTTCACGTGATCATCTGAAATGTTACGAAGTACCCTTATTTATAGCGAAATGATATGCAGCAAAAAGAGTAAAGAGATTTAGCATGACTGTGGATCTCTGCCCTTAACACTTTACTTGGTTACAGTGTATTTTACTTTGATTTACCTAATCCGACATACAGATTTAGCCTAATCTGCATTTTCAAATGTATGCATGTATATAGGCCTGTGTGGTTAGCAAATCACAATTGCTTTACACCACAGTGGTTTTCCCAAATACTATTGACACAGGCGGGCTGTTTAGCAGCTGCATATATATATATATATATATAGACACATACACACACACACACACACACACACACACACACACAAAGCGTTTCTAATGGAATATTCCCCGTAAACATTTTCTCTAATAGGGATCAGTCAGCCACTGTATTTAAAATGGCTGAATGGATGTATACCTCATGCTTCTGGACTGGGAATTAATAAAGATGAATAATAGGCCGTTAACCTGTGGATACGGCAAATAGGAAGGAAAACGATCTTCGATAGCGGCGAAACTAGAACGAATTATAAAAACAGCTCTAAACTGATTCCTTGCCTCGCAATTAAGAAAGTTTGAGTTTTGCTAAAATATCTTACTCGGTGTGCTGTTTTGTTTCCCTTCGCTGCGCTGACCGGCTTAAATACTGAACTGCGAGACCCTCAAATCTGCGCTCCATCCCCCAGGAGAGCTGCTCAATCCAGCCACCTCATTAAGGCGTCCGTGTCGTGTGTGAGCTTTGCCATAAGCACCGCGATTAAACATAGCTGGCCAATTATTTCTTTTTTCCCCCTCTCTCTCCAACTGATGGAGCATGCAAGGAGATTATTAACTAGTTTAATATCTAACGGGGCCTGACAGGTGCTCTTCTCGTGGATGTTTAAGGACTTTAGGGTTAATGGTGGTATTGGTGAGACTGTCATAACTCACAATAGGGCCATTAATGTGATATTACTGGGAGGGCTCATTCTGATATGTATCTTAACGCCAGCAGAGGTGGAGTTAGACAGAATATAATTTTTTAATGTGATTTTACTGCCTGCAGGGCTGCGTGATGTGTCGGGAATTTCAATACCTCTGAAATAAGAACCGGCACCAGCTGAGAACAATGGACACCAGGCGCCCCATGCCGGTCCAGGACCCCCGTCCCTACAGACGGGGAGACCATAGTAGTATTTCAAATGTGAAATACACCTCTGAAATCTGGTTTCTACACGAAATAGACCTTTACACCAGGCCTGGAACAGCTGTTTCATCTTTCTCCTGACATTTCAATACCAAAAAACGTAAGTAGAGCAGTCTTTCAACTGAACAAAATAAGTAATATCAATGGTTCAAAAACAAAACGATGGCCTACTAGTGAAACGAGAGAGCGCTTCCGCAAGCCACAAGAATACGACCGACAATGTTACAACACTCCCCTCTAGTGTCCAAAGTGTATATAAATAGTCAGAGCCCCATGACGTGTATGGCAGAACATCCGAATACTATTACCCTGTTCTACGGTAATTGCGCATTAACAAATGGCTGACTTAAAACATAAGAAAAAGTAGAATTGCACGCACACAAATAAAGGCACACAAAGGTGAATAGGTGTTATATATGAACTCACAACCCAAACCTTTCATGCATTGTTTGTGACCCACACCACAGAAAAAAAAATTCAAAAGGACAGATAAAAATTTCTGGTTCACATCTCTCTTGCAAAGGTCACGAAACTGCTGATGGGACACAGTCCTGTCACCTGTTACCACCTTTGGACACACCCATGTCCCCGGTTTATTTGACTAGCCAGAGTTCCTGCAGTAAGTCTATAATAATTCTGAATAATCTTTGGCTCACACTGACTACAACGCTGTCGTCAACGAGAAACACAAACGGGTAAGCTGCCATTAACAGCATAAAAAGCTAAACATTTTCAAAGGTTAAAGAAAACCTAGTCCGTGTATTCCTATCGTCGAAACTGTGTTTGCCAATTACTTCATGTACACTGTATTCTTTTAAACACATAAAATACTCTACTTACCACACATAAACGTGTTCATATTTCAGTGTAAGTCAAAATATGAATGTTAACCCTGAAGCATGAGGTTTGCCTGCTTACATCATTCGTGTCATTTCACAGATGAAAATGGGGTGCTTCAAATGTGTCAAAGTCACCATGATCATTTTCAACATGTTAATATTTGTGAGTATTATCCTGTTTGACTGCAGTGAATGTGACATTCAGAAACCTCTTTGTGTATCATATGTGAAGACGCGACGGAAACCATTACCTGGCGAGACCAGCGCTTATTATTCAAAGAGACCCATATTTCTGCAGTAATAGATACTGGAGGGTTTCATAATTATCTCAGATTATGGAGCTGGGTGATGTTATCTGTGCACAAATCCCGTCAAATGAGCATTATTTTAAATAGGGCTGCACAATATTTTTAAAAAAATCACATCGCGATATTTGAAATTTTTGCGGATATTGCGATATTTACAAAACAAAAAAGGAGAAGAAATTTACCTGAAAGAAACTATTCAAATAGCACTTATTATCTACCAACTGAGTGTCAAATAAGCTAGTGGCAATGCTGTAAGTTGTGTTAAACACAAAGCAGTGCTGTTTGGTTGCTTTTGCTCAGTATTTTTTCTGATACAAAATTATTTCATACGGCAGAAGGCGAATGCCTTTTGGTGACCTGATCTTGCTCAGGAGACCGCTGCAGTCCTTCTGATGTGAAAAATGTATGCGTATGGCATGCAGTGTCAATATTAATATCGCACACTGTGCACCTCTGTCATGTATGAATCCGTGTATCCAAAAAAAAACCCTTAAGTTGCAGTAAATTATATAAGACTTAATTCTCTTGTAGAATAGTCATGGAAAATGAGAACAATGTGAATTTTCCTTTTGTATCAAGCAGCAAAAAAAAAGACAAAAACAGTCGTCCATAACATTTTTGGTGGAATTTGCCTTACTTGACATGACACGTCCAAGGATGTGATTGTTGCACACAAACATATTCTGAAGACGATAATGAAACAATATATTGTGTAGCCCTAATTTTAAAAACCTTTTTAAATCTGTGTGTTTTTTAAATAAGTCACTATAGATTGCTCTGACTCTGCTTCATCAGTATAGTACATTTCTTGATCACTGGCAATATAACTAGATGACAGGTATGAGCTGTTAACCTGACTTATACGGTTAGTCTCATCCAATCACTGTCACCTGACTGCTGACATACTGAAGGAAATAATGAGCAGAGAAAAATAAATAAAAACAGTAGAAAATACTGCTACGCTACCCAACTTTTATCCCATTCTGAGCTGAAACAATGCATTTCAACAACCTGTCAGCATGTTTATCAATTGTGTTTTCATTTTATTGTTTTTTTCAGATGATGGAAACAAAATATGTGTTTAGATTGTTTTTCCTTTGAGCTTCCTCAAAGTGATTGTTTAATATCCCCTTTAAGGGGAAGCTTCCCCAGTAAATCACTCTAATAGGCGAGAGCCTGCTCTTCTTCACCGGGATATTACGTGCTGGGAATTGACGTTATGTGTGACATTATATACACTTAATGTGCTAAAGTGCTTCCCTTTTGAAGTGTCTCAGCCCTCTCAGGCATCAAAACACCAGCACAGATTTTTATCACCCATGGAATGAAATATATTTATTTTTTATGGTTTTCTTTTTTTTAACGCTTGTCCTATCTTATTTACCAAAAGGGCCAGCCTGTTAAGAGCAAAAGGACAGAGACACTCTGTAGTAAAGTGTGTTGTTGTGTGAAAAGCACCCATAAAACCCCAGAGAATCACTCCCTGTGTAGGTCATGGTTATAAATGCTCTTTGCATCAAACATTTCAGTAAAGCCAGGGCATTTTAACCTTAAATGGATGCTGGGACATAGAGGGTACACATTGGTTAGGGAAAACCCAGTGTGGAGCAAGCTCCCTACAGACAGGCAAGGGAAGGGTCTCCCTTACATCTGCCTCTCGGTGGCTCGTCTTCGCAAATGATTTGAGCGCCTGTGAGACAACGAAAAGGAAAGAACAAGGTCAGAGTGAGCATTTGTTTTAGGTCTTTTTATACAGAGAAGATGATCGCTGCCAAGCTGAGTTCGTACGAGATGAGCTGTTACTGAGAGAACAAGCACCTTATTCTGATGCTGAGACAGATGAAAGACAATGATCGTTAAACTGACATGCAGTGTCAGAAAAAAAGGGTACAGCCCTGGTACAATTTTATTCCCCAAGGTACGAACAACATTAATTGTACCTTCAAAAGTATAAATTGGTACTTTGTTTTCTGACAGCATAGAGGGTGACTTCCGCTATATTGAAAAAGGCACACTGGGTTGTTTTTGTTTGTTGTTATGAGACAATTTAAAAAATCCTCAAAGACCAAGCAAATCAGTAACAGCTCACATATCACTTGACAGCCTGCTGTCCTTCAACGTGTCACCCTTCTTCCACTTTTCTCACCACAGCTCAGTGGCACCGCCCTGCTGGCCGTGGGGTTGTGGGTGACTGTAAACAAAGCATCCTTCCTGAGCATGCTGGGGCCCCTCTCTGCCCAGGCCATGCAGTTTGCCAACGTTGGCATCCTCTGCATCGCTGTCGGGTTGGTGCTGTTCCTGCTTGGCTTCTTGGGCTGCTGCGGAGCCTATGGGGAGAACAAGTGCCTTATTCTGATGGTGAGAGAGTGGGCACTGCCCCACACTGCGCCACACTGCCCCACACTGCACCACGCTGCTATCACACTGCGCCACAGCCTGGTCGCAAACGCCATTGGTCAGGACTGCTTCAGTGACACTCATTTACAGATAAGGACACCCAGAAGGCACAATTCACTTGCACAACCATTATAATACAACGACTATTACATTCAGCTCCTTCCAAAGAATAGGGGAAATGAGCTATGGGAGGCATTTACACCGTGACCTATGGGCGGTACGGGTCCCACAGGATTTAGCGGAGTTCCCGTGCTCGTGTCAGCGATTCAGCGAAAAGCCACTGCCGGTATACAAAAAAAAACACCAACTGACTTTTGCATATAATATTTCATGCTGATCTGCTCAGATTTAATTCAAAACCCAGGCCTACCCAACACTGGGTTATTCTTGACTAAATGCTGTGTAAAACTTCCCATTGGTGCTGGGTTGTTCTTTTATGTCTTTCATTATTATTAAATATACATTAATCCCATATTTAATTATAAAAATATTAAATATCATGAATTCGCAAATAGGAAATGTTGTTGTGAATGTTCATTGCAGTTCACAGAATTAAGTTCTACAAAATATCTAGTGAACCAGCGAACATGGCTGCACTTCAGTGTCAACCTGTCAAGGTTTAATCCATGATAATCGCCCGCTAATCTTTTAGCTTACAGTTAACTAGCTAGCTAGCTAACATTACCTAATGTTAGGTAACTGATATTAAACGAAAGACAGTATCATTATTGTTCAAAGAGATGGATAATTATTTTTTAGTGTTTATATTATTATAATATTACAATATTGTTTTATTTTAATAAATATAATTCTGTTTTCATATGCTGCATCTATACCACATCAGCCATTTGGGGGACGTTTGGGTGCTTGTCCTCCAATCGTTCCTACAAAGACATGCTAGAATGTGGTGCACGAGAACATGGATTCCCAGATCAACGGGGGTGTAGGTACCCAAGTGCTGGATCAAACACATTACCCTGCAGTTGATTAGGCTAGTAACCCAATTGCTGGGTCTGGACTTAGTACTTGGATGCAAAATAACCCAGCTGGCAGGACCCAGTAATTTTTAGAGTACAGTATATGGTGCCCGAAATATAATTTTTAAATAACCAAGCAGCACGATTGCTGCCGCTCCCCCTGCGACCCCCCCACCCAAGTGGGGTTCCCACCTCTGCGCACCGCAGCGAATATAAGCAGCATTCCTTTGTTTTATGTTGCAGTTCTTTATCATTCTCCTGATCATTTCCATCGCCGAAGTCGTGGGGGGAGTCGTCCTCCTGGCCTGTTCTTCACTTGTAAGTTTGTTCATAGCCACGCCCCTTACTCACTCCCTTTTCATTCCTCTCCGATTTTTATCGCCATGTAAATTCCTGTCATATTCCCGAGCATCATTAAATTACCGGGGTTTATTCCCGGTTCACTGCATTCATGGACTTAATGACTCGTGGATTTTGCCTCAGGCTGAATGAGGCGGTTTTCACTTTGTGCAATTTATTATATTAGAAATTTGAAGTTAAAGCATTTTATATGCAAAGCAGCCTATTTACATATATATGTTTTCTATTTTGTGGAATGTATAATAATTACAGCATTTCATATAAGCTATGCAAAGAAGGTTGGAAAAAGCATCCAAAAGGTAGAATATAAAACCGGGTCCAATTAAAGAATTCATCAGAGTCCTGGAAAGCAATCTTGGCTAGCGCGAATACAGCGGAACCGTAGAAACAAGCTAATGTGATCAGAAGATGGATTTGAGAACAGAGGTTGCATTTTAATGCGCATAATCCATCCAGAAAAAGGCTACATATCCAGTATGAATCCGCTCAGCTTAAAGCCCAGACGGTGGCCACTCCCTTCAAACGGTGAGCGCTGATTACCGCGACTGTCCTCCGAGGACCCGTCCAAACGTTTATCATTAATTCTGCGCAAATAATTTCCCAAGCAGCCCTCCCTTTCTCGGTTAGCTGAGCAAATCCGTACTCCCGCATGCATCTAAAGGTCATTCTGCAATGACCTGCTCCAGCTCAGGACCAGAATATAGACAGATGAACGGGAATGCTCTTTTTTACTAGAAAGATAAAGTAGCTATAGATATTTAATGGATTTTTTGTTTGCATTGTTTACTCACATTTTTGCTTAATATCTACACCTACCCACCCAGCCATCTCCTATAACCACCATTCTTGGTCTTGGCTGATGTTTTCTGTAGCATTATCACATGCAAACATTATCACATTTAAACATGCACATGCAACACACACCAAATCCCCCCACACAAATCTATGTGTTCTGTGGAAGGCATTAATCTTGAAATTTTCAGGGACCCTCTTGGGATTAGAACCAACAACCTGTTTGCCAGTTCCTAAGCAGTATAGGCTGTATATGAGTGAGAGAGGTATGGAATGTTAGCTTTGGCATTTTGCTGCTGAGTTTTGCTCAGATTTCTTCTTTCTGTCCTTCTGTGTAGGTGAACACAAAGAAACGGCAGGTCCTGACAGTGATAAATTAAACAGCACTTAATAAGTCTTGTGATCCACGCTGCCTCCCCTCCTTCTTGGGGGATGTTTAATTGCAGGCCGTCTCCCGCTGGCTTGCTATAAAAATAGCCGTTATGTATCAGTGATTCATCCGGGCGAATTAATCAAAGACACAGAGTATGCGGCTGCCTATACAGTGACTGACACATAACAGCGTACCTGTACACAGACCACGGACGTGAAGTGGAAATATACTTCTTTTAACTTGCAAATAATACAATACAGCTTCACCGAATTTAAAATGCCAGCCCACTTGTTTTTGCACAATGGGAGGAAACCCGCACTGGGACTGCATGCAAACTGGACACAGCTGGGGATTGGAATGAAACGTCATCACCTGTTTGTTTCACATAAAATAACACTGCAGACATACTAAATATTTACACGTTATTGACAGAAAATGGGCTGCACGTGTGCTTATGCACGGGTATTTAATTCCCAGATGCTTTGTTCACTTCTGACTGAAAATAATCTGTTCACTAATTCATAGATGATTGCAAAGGATTATGTTCCCAAGAGCAGGCTTGTTTACGGATCTGCGTAACGTGTATGATGACACCGCAGATGATACCATGCGCAAAGCGTCCTAGGGCCGGGTCGAGCCTCCTGGGCAGGTTCTCTGCATGCTGATACCCACCCCCTTGCTGCTGTCCTCAGGCCAAGAGCATCCTGATGAATTGGGCCGCCCCGGCACTAAAAACACAGTACGGCACCGACCCGGACGTCACGCAGATATGGAATGCGACCATGACGGAGGTGGGTCGGGACCCGCAGAAACCCGGACGGCATTAAAAGCTTACCGCATTCACACTGTCTAGATGTAATTATAACAAGAGAAAGCAATTTAGGGGCAGATTTAATTTAAAGATGGAAAGCAATGTGATGGGTTGGTTATATTAGGTCTACATAGATTATTACATTTAGATGTTTTGATGATTGTTTTCTTTGCCACATCTCTGTAGAAATTGCCTAAGCAATTCATTTAATCTGATTCCCCTGTGCATGTTTAAGCTGAGCTGCTGCGGTGTTACCAGTTACACCGATTTCACCAACTCCAGCTACTACACGCAGCATGGCGGCAGCTACCCGCCCGCTTGCTGCACGCCGGGCAGTGTCCAGTGCAATCTGGCGGACGCTGAGGCGAGCAAAGTCATGGTGAGACTTACATGCCGCTTATATCCTCAGTGCAGATGACGTCCTCCAGCAGGGGCAATAGAAGCAATGCTGATCGGCTACATGCAGACGCTATAATTTGCATTTATATATATATACACACACCTCTGATTGAAATTAACCCGTGTATCATAACATCTGTGCTTCACCCATTTGGGCACCAAAGCACTTCAGATTAAGCCTCATTTTGAAGTCGCAACAGGACAGACTGCAGGTTACATGTCCATCTCTCACCTCCATTACCTGTTCTTTTTTTTCTTCTTCCTTTACCCAGGGATGTTTCGAAAAGCTACTATCGGTCTTGAGGACAAACGTCGGCATCGTCGGGGGAGTGGCACTTGGTATATTTGCCATTGAGGTAAATGCCACCGTCACACATATTCAGCAAAATGCCTGCAAAAGATCGGCCATTACTGTTGCTGGTTTTAAGTTTATTATCTATATGCAGGTAATGGTCACACCCAATTGGAATTAAAAAAAAAAAAATTCTAGCTGGACCCGTTCCACCACAAATGAATTGTGTGTCTTTCATGCTTAGTTGGATAGTACTAAGACTTCCAGTGCTAGTTCCTGGTTAGTTAACCTTTGCAGCCCTATACTTACCGAACCTGTTGTTCCCCTACTCCAGCTGACCGCTATGACTGCATCCATGTACTTACACTGTAAAATTGACAAAGGCTTCATCCACTGAAGAATGATCTTCCTCACACCTGGAACGTTGCATGGTTTTCCAACAAATTGCCTGGACTATTCATGTGTGGAAGTAAAAACCTTTCTGACTCCAAGTTACAATAAAGGCTTTCATTTATAAGCAAGCATCCATCACTGTAAGAGCTGTGCAACAGCGTATCCAGCTTCACGCTTAACTGGGGAAAGCTGGTTGTTTGTTCTTTTTATATACATTAATTAATAAGCACTATATGCATTTGATGGTGTCTAAGTCATCTTGAGACACTTAGTACTGAAAGAGGTAAAACCTTGGACAGTGTGCAGGCGTGCTGTGATACTGGTGACTTTTATAAGACCGTTGCATGCTGTAGCTGACGGTTTATAAGGCCAAGTGTGAATCCCAATTATGCATTAAAATTCTGTCCACTGTCCAACTCTAATTTATCATTTGCCAGCTTCTGCAAAGCCCATAAAATGAGTTTTCACAGGCAGAAACATGCTGTAATAAGGTGAAAATTAACAAGGAATTTTCTCTCCCACCCCAACATCAACCCAAACTGCCTTTCTACCTGTGTTACCTGTCAGGCACCAATTCAAATAGGCCACTTAAAGGGACCTGTGGACTCTACGCGTAATGCAGGCTATTCTGCACAGATTGGTTTGCCAAGGGTCTCCTGTATTATCATCACCTCTGTATGGGGATAAGATTTAAAATGTCCTTTAATTGGTGGGGGTTGCTGGGTAAGACTATGCATATGCAAAACTAGATTCTGTACAGTAGTTAGTGCATTTCTGCCTTCTACATAACATCAACTCTTGTGGGATTGGCTCGATAACTATCATGATACTTGATTATTCTGCAACGGAGATCATAGGTATTATTCCAATAGCTGAGTGTGCTTTCTGTTAATAAGGCTTTTAAAAAGCATTTTAAATCCTGAAACAGCCCTAATGAAAAGTCAAACCCTTCGTCTGTGTGCGAACGTTCAAAATTAATTCTGGTTTTTCACTGGTTGAATTAATACTTGTTCCATTGTTACCAGAGCCTGCATCTGTTAAAAGCTCTACATTAAAAAAAACACCCTAATTAAATGCCCCTGAAGCCAAGTTCATTCCTAACGAGACCATTTTCATTTACTGCTCGACGGTGTGAAATGATTTGGTGAATATCATGGAGTAACCCTTTCTTGCCCCAAACCATCTACACTGCTAATCAAAGTTTCTGAAAACCCTTTAATATTTTTGCATTTGTAGTTAAAGAACAAGTGACGCGCTCATTTGTAAATACCCTGTGAGATGTGAGTCAACTGACTTTAATTAATCTCATTAAGGTGATTTAGGATGAAATGTGAAAAGGGGTCAAGGTCACACGGTCAACAAGGGCCAACATTCGTGGGCTCTTCTCTGCAGTGTTGGAGTGAACTTTGACTCTAATTACTTAAATGGCTAGAGTTTATTCAGCTGTAGTCAGTATAAAAAGTAGGTAAAGTGGCTATTTTTATGAGCCAGACATTTACCCTATTTTTTATTACATAGGCTGTTTCATGTAATATTTTCCATGATTTGCTATTTTGTAACTTTTTGTTTTTCTTTTTGCATGTGGCACTGATAACGATTGAACATAATAATGATTAAGCTATAATAAAACAAAAAAAAAAACTTTTGATTGGAAGTGTACCTCAGTGCCTTTTTCAAAATGCTGACCAAATGCAGTAGAAGAAACAGGACTTTCAACAAAACTGGAGGAGTCATACGAGAGCTAAGCAAACCCTTCAGAGTGAGCGACCACCAGAAGCGGAATCTGATGGCCAGACCCATTTGCATACAACACATTTCAAGTACATTTCATATAAATGCACTATATTCTTTTTCAATATATAGCCGTGTCATGCCAGCCACTGCAGTTTGCTAAGGCAAGCTATTGAGAAAATTCACTGCAAATATCCAGACTAGCCCCTTCACTAGCACAGTAATCAGCCTCCCAGGCATTCCAGTTCTTCCAGATGGCACGCTTAACTGCTATACAGTACCTGCTCCGCACAGTAAAATGATCTGATATCAGATGGACATAAACACCAGGCTGACATCCTCTTTCCCATCCCTTACGGGCAGCCCGATGCAGGAGATGTGCCGGGTCACAGATTTGCACATCCTCTTTTCCATCCCTTACAGGCAGCCCAATGTGGGAGATGTGCCAGGTCAGATTTGCACAGAGCCCAGCAGCGTCCCCTTCCAGTCACCACACAGGAGAAATGCTGATGGCACTGCTGCTCCCAGCTCATGGCTTACAAATACTTGCAAGAATGTTAAATTCACTGAGGTCACATGGGATTGCTACACCAATCGTATGTCACCTGTAAAACTCCACCTACCTAATATTACAACCAATACCCAGGGTGAGGAGCATTTATAAACTGTTTATCATTTTAACAAGCCTGGCTGTTGGCACTAACACAATGCATTTATATGGATAGTATATTAGATGCATACATAGAATTGATATTAAATATCAAGTCCTTCTGTACAGAAGGAATTTTCCTGCTCTGTGATATTCGGTGCCAAACATCCCTAACTGACAAAAGACATGATTGCTGGGGTTTTACATTTATTTTAAAAACATTCAAATTCATTTAAGGAACAAAGTTTTCCAACACCCATATCACCAGTGTTTAAAAAAAAAAGAAAAAAGTAATTGCCGTCTTACTCAGTGAACCAATTAACCATATTTAATTGATGATTAGATTCAGCTCATAGAATAGAGCCAGACTTCAATGCAGTCAACCATGTTGAATCTAACCCTTGCTCACACAGAAGCTTCCTCTAGGGCTATTACTCAGCTGTTGGAATTTATCTATCTGGAATGGGTTAAATGGCATTTGTAAGCCTCTGGGATACACAGACAAAGCCATTATCTCCAAGCAGAGTGGTGAGCCTTCCCAGGAGTTGCCGTCCTGCCAAAATTTCAGTAACGACGTCGCATCCAGGAATCCACAAAGGTCCCAGGCGTACATCCAAGAACTGCAGGTCTCTGTGGCCTCGGCTGGGGTCAGCATTGAAGACTCCGCAATGAGACATTGGGCAAATATGGGGTTCATGGGACAGTAGTCAGCCACTGCCCAAGAGAATCTTCCAATTCTCACCTTACATTTGGGACAAAAAGCACATGGATGAAAGCCAAGCATTTTGGTTAAAAGCGGAACTTTTTAGATGATAGTTTCCATTTCGCCTGGAGCACAACAAAGACGTCAAAGCACCAGTGGCAGGTTGGGAGGCTTTGCTGCCTCAGAACCAGAGCGATGCGCCATTGCTGAAGGTCAGGAAAATTCTGACAGTAGACATCCAGTCATCGGTCTCTGAGCTGAAGCTGAAGAGTAACAGGGTCAATAGTATAGCAGCATGATAATGATCCAAAACAAAAAAGCAAGCTTACATCTGACTGGGGGAAGGAAAATAGTTTTGGAGCGGCCTAGTTATGACGCAGTACCAGGACCTACTGATGTCGGATATAAAGTAGCTCTGGAGTAATATTCTTCCACAGCAACAGACCGAAATCAAATTATAGGAAGCCCATGTTTGTAGGTATTACTGTTAAAGGAGGTGCGACCTTTTCAGGGGGGTGGGGGGAATTTTATTTTATTTTTTTACATAGGTGATATGGCTGTAATTTTGTTCCTTAAAAGAAATAACAGTTCTGTTTACTCGTGTTCCCTTTGTCTCGTAGCACGTTTCATATATAAATCTGAAACCTTTCAGTGTGATAAAACCTGCAATGATAGAGGAAGTACGAATTACACCAACATGCAGGGAAACTGCTGCATAAACAATGTTTGCTGAGACAATGAATACTAACGACACTGGGAAGCACAGAATACAAAACTAATTTTATTGCGTATAAGAGAAAAAAAAGAACAAAACACATGATATAGAAGTATAACGGGTTAAAATGTTAAACCACATAACTCTGAAATGTGAAGGCGCTACAATGAAAATGTCACAGATGTGTGACGGTGCAGGATGGGAAAGGTCACACCTTATGACAGCCACCAAACTGCGACAGGAGTTCAGTCACATGTCCAGCCGGTAATACTGGTGGGCGCCGTTCAGGAGGTGCGAGAACTGCTGAGTACCGTTACATCTTTCCTTTTGTTTTCCGATCGTTATCAGACCCACGTATGACGACCATGGAAAATCACAGTAGTAAAATCCTTCCTTTTTGAAATGGCACATTTCTCAAACGATGGTATATTAGTCATTTCTCTGGTACTCAAACATGAAACAGCTTATAAGATCTGCTTTTAAAATCATTTTGAAATGACTGAGAATCTGGCATATTAACCGCTCAGAGAAAACTCCAGATAGGAAGGACCTCTGAACAGTTCTTTAAAAAAAAAAAAACTAAACATAAAAACAAAGTGGTCGTTTCACACAGGTTATAGTACACGTAGTGTTCAAGTGTTAGTAAAAGCTATTGTCCTTAACCCAAAGCCCCTTATATATGAAATAAATTAAAATTACAGTACTATCAAGGCTGAAAATGACTACAAAAACCATACAAGTTCAAATGGGATTTAGATGCAGATACATTGTTTGTGAAATTGCTGACCAACCAAAAACAACTCATCTGTTGAAACAGGTCAAATAAATAGACATAATTTAAAATGATTGTATGTACAAAACGGACAGAGCATTCAGTAGTTTGAAAGTGGTGTGTTTGAGTGGCATGAAGTCACTGACATCCATACAGGGCATTTACTCCCCCCCCCCCCCAGTGGTTGGAGCCACTGGGGCAGATCGCCATGGCTACACTTCAGATGTCAGTAAATGCTAAGCAAATGCTTTGAGTCGAACCCTGTGCCCACCGGTGTTCAGTCCTGGAGGGAGTGTGACAGCCAGGCCTGAGATTAAGGCAGTGTTCGGGGGGGGGTGTTATGAGCCAGGCCGCCTCCTCCCCCCCTCCAGCTGATTAGCATTAGCGCCGTGGGGCATTAGCACCACCTTCGCATTAAATAAAGAGAAGCACGAGGTGAAGGGGCCGTAACCCCACTTTCCCACCACGGCCCCTCCCAGAGTCCTGCGGCAAACTCACCCGCCGGGCCCCGCGGGGGCCCAGGTTGGTGGTCAAACCGCCACAGAGAGCGGTCAATGTTCAAAGCGACCGCGTTACCCCGCCGTTACGTCTGCTCCACCGGGGCGCCGTCTTCCTTGGGTGCCGGCTCCAGGTGGATTGGGGTGATCTGGGGTGGTTTCTTTACTCTGGCGGGAAAAGGGGAGTAGTCTTAAAAAAGCACAATGAAACAGATCTCTCATCAGAGAATGACCCAAATGTTTTCCGTGGACGGGGACTGGCGAGAGGGTGGCAGGTGACGACCACTCACGAGTACGGAGACACCGGCACGGCGATGACAAGGACGTGGTTCTTCTTCCTGAAGAGACG